AGTGAATTAACCAATTAGTTTATTAATTAATTACTTTTTAGAGAGTAGGTAATGCCATGTAAGTAAATGACAATACCTAATAAATTGTTGTTGTTGTTGTTGAATCACTGAACCACATCTCCCCCTACCCCTTTAATTAGCTAATTTCCCACGAAATATTTAGTCTTTATAAAACACGAAATTGTTTTACAAGGGCTAGTTGTAATTCACGAAACTCTTTGGCTGCATCCAGTTCACAGTTTATTTCTTAATATAGGTCAATCTACCCGTATCGTAAATTTGGCCGATTTTGTGTTGAGAGTATGTTTTCTTTGAAAACTCGGACCGACAAACAGTTTATACGTGTAAACTACCCTTTTAAATTATACATCACAATATCTGATACTCAGTTACATTACACTTTTTGTTTCTTCTGGCGAAAAGACCCAGGAAGGTTGATAACGTATTTATCATTTTCCCCTACGAATAATCATATAATTTTGCAGTCCGGCTTCACAAACTGCCCTTTGTGCGCTGTGTATTAATACGGCTAAATGTGCGCTATATTTGAACTACAAATTATAAACGTAACAACCATATAGAACGTATTCCAAAAAGGCGACGTCGTTCTGGCAAAGTGACGTGTCTGACGGTAAAATGATCGAAAAATCTTTTATGTAAACCATTTTCAGACATTTCACTCACGAGCCGTCATTCTGTCACTGTCCGCGAAAGGAAAAAAAGCTGCATAACACCTTGCAAAATTATGACTGACAATCAAAATATGAATAAAATTTCAATTTTTTAAAATAAAAATGAACATTGAAATGACACGGTAATAAAACATACTTATTTTATTTTAATTAATGTGGTAAGAAAACGTCATTTACAAAAACTGTCAATTTAAGTTCACAGCATAAAATTGGAAAGAAAAAAAATGCACATTTGCTTCCTAACCGATGCAATAAAATGGTTTTAAACCAGAAAACAGTTAAAGAAAGTCGGTCGGATTGGAAAAAAAAAACTAAAAAAAAAAATCACAAGAAGTCTCGGAATAGTAGGCCCTGGTACCCCACGACCACGTTAAAAGTTAACATTCACATATTTGGATTAACAAAAGGCACAATTATATACTGTAAAAAGTGTTCATGTTTTTGTTCCTGTCGTTCTCTTTGCTGTTACTATGCTCATTTTTCAGATTAAAAGAATTATTTCAAGTGTAAAATGGTTTAACTACGTCGTTACTTTTTTTTCCTAAATGCCAAAAATTTGAGTCGGGGGTCGGTCGGATGATGCTAAAAGGAGAAGAAAAGAGGATGGCCTTAGCTGTTAGAACGAAATCATAATGACTGTGGCACATAGCGTTGTTAGCAGTTTCGGCATGCAGACCAGACCAACCGTGTATCTGGTCAAAAAACTCCCGCAACGTTGTTAGCATCTCCACAAAAATATGATGAAGCCTTTATTCATCTAGGCATGAACATCTCAAATGAAAAAAGCACTCACCCTGACTTACAGAACCTCTCTTTGGTTGGTTAACAGGATAATAGGGGCAAAGCACCTCAAAATAAGGAAGTCAGTTATTTTTGGCTTGTATACAATTGTAAGATCAGAACACAACCAAAAGGGTATTGTGTGGGCTATTTTGTGCTCATTAATCCTAGATCTCTCAAGTATTTTATCCTTGCTGAACCAAAACAGATCTTCTTTTATTACTCATATTACATTGAACATATACACAACTTTATAAAATTATAAAATAATTTAATATAATCGGTTGCAGCACAGTAGCAAGCACTATAGTGGAACCTCGCCTTAGGATCACTCTGTTTATACGACCACCTTGTTTACACGAACATTATTCTTTCGACCCAAACGTAAGAATCACTGAGTCATTTCGTAACAGTGGAACCCCTTTAGTGCGACCACCTCGTTAGTGCGACCTGGATTTTATGGCCCAACGGTGGTCGCATTAGCGGGGTTCCACTGTAACTAATTTATTACTGATGAAGGACTGACATGTGTCTGGAAAATGAGTGATGAAACAGTTTTTAACCCTTAGACTCTCTTCGGTGTGATTATGTGCAGGACAAAACCTTAATCCATATACTGAACATTTGACCAGAACGTTAATTGATGATTTTGTTTTCAGCTCAAAATCAACTTCACAGGTTTCATCTATAACCTCTACAATGACCTTTGAAAAGCGTATCATCCGGGTACAGTGGAAAAGCCCGAGGCGTAAAAAAGTGATTGCTTTTACTGTTTTGCAGTCCTTGTAATCTTACATTCAACAATTTTTTCAAACACATTTAGAGCTCTTTCAAAGCAACATTCCCTTGGTACCAATCGACATGTAAAGATGGATCTTGCACGGCTTTCAGGTGTTAATGATGACATATGGGCAACCAACGACCATTTATATTTTTAAATTCGTCAGATTTGTTTTAGATGGTTTTCTCTTTGATTTAGAAGCCTGTTTGATTGATTTGAAGCTGCCCCAAAAACTTTTGATCTGTTCTGTTGTCTTAAAAGGGGACTTTGGTGGTCTCGAACGCTTTAGATGGTTGATGGGTCCGGAAGACTAAGTTCGAGGACATGGATTAACAGTCCTTTCATTATCGACGTTTTGTTATACCGAAATTTTCAGAAGACTTTTTTTGTAACAATAATCGCGATATCTTGGTAATAAATATGAACTGTCAAAAATCTCTGAAAAGCGTAGGAAAGTTGGTAAAAAAAAAAAAAAAGACTCCGCATATCTTAGGCGAGTTTAACAATTATCCAGAAATTTTTAGCCTTTCTGGAGTTTTAGAGATTTCAAGGTAGTATCAATTTGCCGCTTTATAACGGTTATTTTGCAGAATCAAGTCGTTGGGTGTCCCTGTAATGAGATGCAGTCTAACTTCGCGCCATTGGGCGTATATTGAAGCCACCTGAGCCGCTAATGACATACAGCAGGCAGTTGACCAAATCGACTGAGGAACTCACAATTCGTACAAATTGCACAAATCGTACGAATCGCAAGGCTTAATTCTTTGACAAATCGTATTGTTTTACCAATGGCACGATTGCTTTGGGTGTTTTGACGAATCCTTATGTGTATATTCAGGGCACGTGTGAGACATACCTGACCCACTGATTTCTTGGCTTGGTGAATAGGCCATTCCGAGTTCCAGAAACTCTCACTTTTAAAACGGGGCTAAGTGCGAAACCTTTACTGTGCATCAGAGTTTTTATTTGCATGAGAATTAAAAAGTTGTCTTCTTCGGCACTTGGCTTCGCTTTGAAACAGAGGCTTGCAGCAACTCGGAAATGGCCTATTATTTATCAAAATTCCTTACACGATTACCAGAAGAAACAGAGAGCGCAGAGGAGTTACTTGTGACCTTAATTGCCGTCAAATTTTGCAGTTGAAGGTGCAAATCGCCTTACACTTTACTGAGAATCGAAGTGTATGAACTTGACCAATCAAACCCTCACGTGAACTTGTTACAAACCTGGTAAAATTATCTAGAGCTCCGGAAAACTGCAAAAGGTAATATAGCGTCTAATAAAGAGAATTTTTTCTCGGCACTTTGTGCCCCTCTTCACCGCTCACTGGACGGCTTTAACAATGCAACCAGTCCTTTCAGACGTCTATCTAGGAAGTTCGTCACTCGAGGAGACGGAAACAGAGACGAAAGTTGACCTGTTTCAATGATCAATTATTTTTTTGTTTTATTGGGTTTGACAGGAATTTGTCTCTGATGAGATGCTGTTTTACCTCAGTTTTCTATTGTTCTGTGTGGGGGACCTGGAGTGGGACGTTTATATGATGAACCTGTTTTGGAAAGAATCTGCTCCACTCTTCCAGAGTCGGTGAAAGTACCTGACTCGGTGTATGTTGTGGCCTGCGTAGCAGGTGTCGAAAGGGGTAGGGGATAGGGAGGAAGGGAAAAAGGGAGGGGGATTGGGGAGAGAGGGAGGAGACGGCGCTCCCTTCCTTTTACCCTTTGGCGCTTTTCTCCCTCCCCTCTCCCCCTCCCCTTTTTATGCCTACCACGCAGGCTATGTACGCTGAGTGTTTGAATGAATGAATTGTATTTGATTCTATCTTTCCTTGTAGTGTTTTTTTGGTACTTAATCCTGTTTCGGCTGATTGCCGCATTACAAATGGCGGACATCAAAAATTGTTCAACTTCTATTTCTAAGAAAAAAAGGCATTGCATACAGGTTTTTCTTCTCTTGTCAGGTATTTCGCAAAGCAGAGCCCTCTCCATTAGTGTTGTTACTTTCCAAGAAGATTGCCGATTTACTACACATGTAGGGCATAAGCCAATTAAAGCTAATAAATGTCTTTTTATACTGAGATCGTTAAGGAAGGAGGGTTATACTCAGACAGAATTAGACGATCTGTCTCAAAATCGTTATCCCTGATTTGACCTATGGTCTATCGGTCTACGGTGCTGTTAATGCAGGTCTATTTTGAACTATAATTCTTTAATTAGGATTTGCCAAAATGAATTTCTTCTTTGCTAGGATAACTAATCCCATGCTCATAAGCCTCGCTTAAAAATTTTTCGAGTTACATCAGTTTCAGCCGTAGCACCACAGTAGGGGGATAGCATCATATTCACCTAGCGCTCGCACCAGTGGTTACCAACTATCAATTTAATAGTCCTTCGACATCAAGAAAACTAGGTAAAACATAAAACGAAATATGCAAAATAATGTAGGCTTAAAATGCCAAATTTGACTAGACAACTCAATGTAAAAATCGCAACAGGTGTATAGTTTGCAAATCAGACGAGGAGAAATGTTTGAAAAGAAATAAATAAAGAACATTTGGTTATATTAAAGATCAGTTTAATAAGGTGGTACAAGTTTTATACTGTAACATACAGGTCTCAATATTGAATTGACAAATTAAAATGTGCTTCTTTTTTCATTGCCTGGTTTATAAAAAAATATTATCCTGGCTTAATCAGTGTAATATTAAGTGACTGTCACGTTTGAAGCTGAATACGATGCCTCAGTTTTTAGGTTGTTTCGTAAAATATTTCTACTTCGTCGGGAGTAAACTGATAAGTGCCTGCCAGAAATGTCTGGGTGAAGGTGCTTCCATAGCTGTACCCACTTGGTGGGCTGTAAGTATAGCCAAGGTTAGTATAGGAATTGTCACTGGATGACGCGTAGTAGTAAATGGAAATGTCCCAGCCTCCTCCGAAAATAGGTCCATAAGACGAGCAGTCGTATATTGAATAGCGGTAAGAACTATATGTCCCTGTCTGAGGCAGTTTCACAGGTGCCCATCCTGGCTTGTTCACCAGCGAGAAAAGGAATGCCTGGGAATCATAATAATACCCGCAGCTGTAACCTGTTGGGAAAATAAGAAATGAAAAATATGACCAATGCACAGATTTCATTCAAAAATTCGAATTCATACAGATAAGAAAATATACTGATAACTAACAAATATTAGTTTAAGTTCCTTATCAAAGATCAATGAAAAGTGTGATTTTAATACTAATTTTATTCTTACTTAAGTATTTACTTTTGGAAGGAAGAAACTGCTTCTTATTCAAAAAGCTAAGACGCAAAAAATATTGAACAGAGCGATGAATTGCAGAATAGTATTCAGTTATCGATACCCCGATATAAAGGTTTGAATCGTTCAATTGTTGTTTACTACAGACGAGTGTAACCTCGATATAACGAAGCACTGTATGACGAATTCCTTCATGTAACTAACGACTTTCTTCACCCCAGGTTATAGTAAAATATATGGAAACGAATCTCGATAGAACGAAACTCGTTATATAGCGAAAATTGTCTGCCAGTCCCTTGACCTCTAATTACACTGAGGTTCCAATCTGCAACTTCCGAATTACCCCCTGCCGTCTTTGCCTTTCGAATCTTGGGATTTTTTTTACAGAAATTCACGGCGCGCAATCCTAGCTATTGTAGCTTCAAAACGCTACTGAACGGTGTTCTCTTTTGGGGCGCGGGGGGGGGGTCGAATAAGCACATGAAATAATTGTGCAAAGAAAAATTGAGTGAAAAAAGAGGTGATGCATATTAATTACGGTACAACCCTCAGAGAAGATATCCTGCTTTGGCCTTTTTTTTAACAAATCTGACCTGCTTGAGGGACGCCTGCAGGAAAGGAAAATTTGACTCGAACAAATGTATGTCTTTGTTTGCAAGTGTCCCTTGAATAGAGATGTACCTTGAATAGAGGTTGGGTTGAGGTTGGTTAATAATTAATCAACAAAGACAAGACAAAAAATCGTCATTAACTTATCTATGCGACTTTATATGTTGAATTCACACAGGTGCAGTATATCGATACAAGTGAGATAGTTCAGTTTGTGAAAGCTGCCATCATGGTCATTAGTGTACACTTAAAGATATCAACCTTCTTTGTGGTCAGTCACATTTTGAGCGCTAAGGTGTCCCCTGAATGGAGGTTAAACCCAGGTTTCAGGACTAAGAAAACCTGTCCCTTTCCCTTAAATAGAGGCGTCCCTTCAATATAGGTAACAGATTTTAAGATCATGTGGACGTCTTTCCCGGACCAAATCTTGGGTCCCCTGTATGGGGTTTCACTCAAGGTGTTTCGATACAGTTTTTTGAGGAGACCAGACCGATATTTTTCAGTCGCCTTAAAAGTCGTTTTATCCTTGTCTGATGGCTATGAAATTTTCAACACTTACTGACGTTGGACTTTTTAAGTAAAATTGATATCACCATGACAACAATAGACAAAAAAATGAAATCCATAATAGCCGAATTTTCAGCAATTTAGGCTCCCTACTGAAAATCCGACACCAGGAACTTGTGGTGTTTAGCAAATAACCTCCGTAAGAAATAAAAAATTTGGTATATTTGACTTCAAATAAAACGTAAATATATTACAAACCTTATATTTTCAATAGTCGGGATAAATTGTTCAATAAAAAGTTGTAAATAACTTATTTACAACTTTTTTTTTAAACAATTTATCCCGACTATTGAAAATAGTCTGGTCTTAGCGTGTTATGTGTTAAGTAGCATCAGAAAGTTGTTTAATATCATATTTTGCTGCTTGGAAATTTTGGCGTATTTTCTTTCTTGCCATCCTGAAAACCAACCCGTTATCTCACCACCTCTTTAAGTGCAACTTTCTTCTAAATTTTGACTTTTAGCGCTTTTCTGTATCTCTGTATAGAAAGGCTCGACAGAATTCTTTTTAAACCTCATCAAATAATCTTCACAATGCATACAATAATGTCTGAAACTTTCATTGAGATTGATTCACTGCAACACCTTGAAATTTCAAGACAAACCTACTATCGTACAAACCGGCCAAAAATTCGGCTTATAACATTTACTCTTTTGACGTTATGCTAATTTTCCCAAACTTATGCCTCCGTGAATAGTATGAATAGTACACTGATTCAGTGTGAATACATGTATTGTCAATGTGAAAAGATGAAATAATTATTGCTGCCGCAGGGAGTGAGCCTGAAGCGAGCGAACGAGGCAGCTCTCTAATCGGCAAAAAATTACATTAAGGGGCATTCACTCACTTTTTCTTACCAAACGCAGGGAATTGTGGTTATGCGCGGCTCAAAGATTTAGGATGCGCAATGGACTCGCAAGGAATTGTGGTTAAGTGCGAATGGAAGATTTAGGATGCGCGGTAGACTCGCAAGGAATTATGGCTATGCTGGAATGGGAGATTTAGAGTGCGCAGTGGATTATCACATGCTTTCTTCTTACACTGATTTTCAACTGCAATTTGAATAATTTGCAATCTCGTTAAAGTATACAAACAAAAGGTCTAATTAGAAAACAAACAACTTTGCACGTGCTCCGATATTTTGACTATAGTGATTAGGGTTAAGCACTGAGAATACTAATTTAAGCACTAACCATACTGATTAGGGTTAAACCCTGAGAAAAGTGATTAGGGTTGACGGTTAGCTTCAATTTTGGGTTGGGGTTTACGCTACAATATTTGAATAAAATCATCAACTTGCAGAGAAATTGAAGGAACTTACACTTTGACAACATTTGTTGATCAGAAACTAAGTATCTCAGCCTATTCTAAATCGACGTATGATGGTTTGGACTAGCTGGGATTCTTCGATTTGTCAAAATTATTGAAAAAAGTTATCGGACTGCCGGTCATTTAGTGTTTTGAAAATCTTGACCGGCTACCAGCCATATAGCCGCAGCCTTTATTATTTTCCAAGCAATTTTCCCTCTGTTCCCCCCTCAGAGGGAATCACACAAGCAGCATTAGAACTACGAGCCCCAAATTTATGTATTATATTTATCAAAAATTGAACATAACTGCCCTCCAAAATTGTTTAAATTGGTGTTTGATTCGTGACATGCATATGGTTGGCCAAGTTAATGTTGTGTTTTCATTGTCGTTTCTCAAACCTATCTTGCAGCGTAGATCACAGTCGAACAAATTTCCTTAAATTTGGCAGATGAAATAAACAGTCGTAAACTCAAGAATTTTAAGTTTCGTGGAAATTGCTCGATTTTTGTGCGAACAGAAAGACTGAAGACCATAGTTAGAAAATAATTTGCTCGTATCGCCAAATCAAAGCTTCAAAATAAATTTCAGTCATTCAGTTGAAAGCGAGGATGATTGAACTTATACATATCAAAAATCGAATTCTGACGCGACGCGACCCCGTTAGAAAAATACTAAAACTCGCTCATAATTAAGTTAGTCACCTTAAACGCGATCAAAAGGACGATAATTTTTAAATTTAGGTCACAAAGATTTTGGATAGCCATCTTAGCCTCATATCACCTTCTACTAATTTTCCATCTCTTCACTATTCCTTGCCTACGGCAACATTTCTACCCTTTAGGTATACTAGTATTTAAAATAAATGAACTTAAGTCGTTTACATTTTGACGAACCAAACTTGCATTTGCAATTTTTGTCCAGTATTTTGCATCTTTCCCTTAGCAAGTCGCAGGACAAATTGTCACAGTTTTGAAAATAAGTTTGCACTAAAGGAAAATCGCGAACCCTTCGTGTGACCTTTGTTAAAATTGTCCGTTGTTATTTCCTTCTAAAGTTTTAGTGGTAAATATAAATTATATATAGATTTAGCCAGGGTCTGAAGGCGAAGCTCTCGATAATATTTATAGCTTGTTCAAACCAAATATAAAATCGTGCAATGCTAAACGGGAAGGCAACGCCGGAGAACGGTGAAAAATAACAATCGGTCTAATTAGCAAAAAAAGCAACTTTGCCCGTGCAGTACACTTTTTTTGTACATTCTTTGCCACTTTTTGCACCACTACAACGTGAAACTTCCGGAAACGTCTTAGTTACACGTTTTATGGAGGAAATGTCGTGTTCAAGTTCACTTCTTTTTTTCACTGCCGCTCATTTTCACCTTGCATTGGTGGCCACTAGCATTTGCCATTTTGTTACCGCCGCTACCAAATTTTCATGTTGTTCTTCCAATAAAAAAATGACTCCTCTGTTTGTTATCTCTCGCTCCGGACCTCTGCGCTTCGCTGGCCTGCCTCCTACTTTCTCTTTTTCTGTCTTTCTCCTCCTCTATATTCCAAATTTGTGGCAACAAGAAAAAAAAAAGTTGTGCATTACGTTTTAATGGACAAAAAAAGGATAATAAGAGAAATGCCGGGCATTAAAAGACAACTGACCGTAAAAAAATTCCGTCCCCCTCCTCCCTATACTTATTTTAATTGATGGTTGTCCGTCAAGGCCGTCAACGATGACAGCTACCGCAACGAGTCGAAACGTAAATTATTTACCATGACGTTGCACGACTACGACGTGAAACGCCCTAATTTCACGTTCTATGGAGACCTTAACATAAGACAACGATTTTTATTTCTTTTTCTAAACTTTGACAGGGACCTTTGGAAAGAACTTCGCCAGCATCTGGCAAACTGTACGAGATGGAATAAGGGCGATTTAGGAATAAAGTTTGAAACGCAGCGTGAATGCAATTTTTAAGGGCCTATTTACAAGGAGGTGGGGGGCCCCCGGTTG